CCCTGCCTACAACATTGGGCCTGGAAAAATTATTTTCTTCATGAAAGTAGCCAGTGGGGCAAAATATCCCCATAAGGGAATATTTCCCCACTTTTGTTTTGCTTTTCTATTTGTTCCCTAACATTTAGTATTTGAGATGTGTTGTGAAACTGCACTTTTTTTGCATCTGAGCATAGTAGCTCTGTCACTGGCCAGAGCCTTCCTTTTCCTCCCCAGGCCTGGGAAAGGGACTGTGTTTGGTGGTTTCTACCCCAGTTCTATTCTGACTGACTTTGCCCGGCTGTTGCTGTGAGATTTCATTCCTTTAAATTTTTGGACTTCTCTGGTTCCTCATCCATAATGAAAGTTGAGATAATCAGGTAGTTTTCAGGGCATATCTGGACAATTGTTTTGTTTTATTAAAAGCAGTACTGGGTGATCTCACGTCTTTGCTTGCAAGTCCTAGGTAGCTTTTCATATCTAAGGGAAGAATTTGCTATGACCTGTTTGATCTTTACACTTTTTGTTCTGTATGATTGATCATTTTTCCTTCCCTTCTAAGCTCTGCCTGATGTCCCGCTTGAGACTGTTTACCAGATCTAAGAAACCCATCATGAACTTGACATATAAGCAAGATAAAAATTTTTATCCAAGGGAGAACATACCTCTTCAGGGAATCAGAAAGTTCCTTGCTTAGTTTTGGGCTGCACTGTTAAAGAATCTGTTGTGAGGCAGCTCTTATACTGCAGTAACTAAGTCTTCTCTCACAATCTCCAGTATAAATTTGGCACTAATAATACTCGTTTGTATAATGGTAATAAATGAATAGTGACTTTAAAAAGCAGAATGAGGGCCAAAGAGTGTGTAATGGTTAAATTTGTCACATACACACACGGCCCTTTTGCTCTGCTTGCAGGGAAACATCAATAATGCCAGAGCATTAAATAATACACCAAAGATGAAAATTGTGACATAAATTATCAGCTGAATGATCTGAGTAGTTTAATTCATTTTTATGCCACAGTTGCTCACTGCAGCTTCCATCTCGTTGAGCCACCTGCCAAAGTATTGACACAAAGCAGGTAGATCTAACTTTGGGTGGGGGATAATTTCTGTGATGGGAATAGTAATTTCCTGTGTTGTTTGGACAATGTCTGGACAGAGGTTTCAGACTGTGGTTTGCAGGAAGAAAAAGATGACAGTCTTCTGTAGGGGAAATAATTGTTAATTGTCACTAAGAAAGTTAATGGTCTCTAGATTTAAATGAGAAGGACATAGGTTTGCAGTCCACGGAGGAAAATTTTGAGAGGTTTATTAGTCAGGAGACACTGAAAGTGAGGGACCATGAAGCCAACGAAAATCACCAGGAGATGCCTGAAGCTGCCATACAATGATACAAGACTATAATCAGAGCTGGAGTCAAGTCACCAAGGACAGAAGGGCAAAATTCAAGTTAATATCAGACCCTTTGGTGGAGGTTGCTCCATTTTGCAGGTATGCCTATACCTACAATGACTGCACATACTGTAGGTGGTTCCATTCTCTCTGCCTCAAAACTTCAGCAGCAGAGTGGCACTTAACATCTCGTGCACTACACCTTGTTCATGCCATGACTTCACCTGTGGGTGGCTGTGACTCTTGCCTTTCATTTGTCTTGGACCTCATACAGGTGGGGAATATAGAAGAAAATTCTGGAAATTCCTTGGCTGCAAAATAATAGCAAAATGCATCCAAACAGCAGTTAGAATTTGCTAAGCATGCAGAGAACTTAATAGAGTTGTTAACTGCTGACACCAGAGAAGATGCTCCAGTAACCTCCACTGCAAACAGCACGAGCAGTGTAATGTAGAAAGGGGAGAAACATACAGTGAACACACACAAATTCACAGAAACAATGTGCACAGCCTTCTGGATTAATTTTGTCTCATGGGGGCTTGTGGCCATGTTCTTTTTGAGACATCTGATGATTTGTACTGAGCAAAAAATCACAATACCTAAGGGAATAAAAAATCCAAAGATAATAGTGAATAAAGAAAAATAACTAGGGTCAAGAGATCGAGTCCGAAAGCAGAATCTTTCCCACCTATTCTGAAATTTTAGATGGATGTTGGAATAAATTATGAGCATTATCCAAAGAAAGCCACAGATAGAAGCTGATTTCAGCGGGGATCGAAAAACCTTTGCTTTTAGAGGGAACTTGATTGCAATGTATCGATCAATTGCAATCAAGGTGATGATAAAGATGCTCATAGGCATATTTGTAAAATAGATGTTGTCTATAGCAACACACAGCTGGTCTATGGGATGGTCATACTTGTTAAAATATATCACAAAAGGCAGGGTAAAGAGCAGGAAACTATCCGCGACGATGAGGTTGATCATGTACACCTTGGTCTCAGTCCACCCCTTGAGTTTGCAGCAGAAGACCCAGAAGGCAATTGCGTTCAGTGGGATCCCCAAAGCGAGCACTGGGGTGTAGATAATCGTCTTAAGTAGTGTGATGCTATCCTGCAGTGCATTATTTTCAGTGCTGTTGTTCATGCTGGGCCGTCTCTGCAAGGGAAGAGTGCAGGCATGAGGCTGAGCTCTGGACGGGTTCAGTGGCTCATCAGCACCATCAGACCCTCAGCCATCAAAGTTAGACTATCACTCACTGCCAGGTAACAAAAACACATAGACAACACTCTCACAGCTATTGGGCAGTTAAGCCTGCCTCACCTTCCCTCCTGGCCTCACTAACAGCAAAGAGCCTGCAAAGCAGAAGGATAATTTTTGTTGTCCCTTACCTTTGCTGCTGCTGTAGTTATCAGAGAGCCACTGCCTTTAGGGCAGCCCACAGCAGAGCTGGGCAACGTTCCCCTTTTGCCCTCTGAGACCCTTGCTTTGATACTGGAGCCACCCCATAGGTTTGCTCTGGGTCTTGCCAGGCCTGAGAACCTCCTCAGGACTTGAACCCTTCCAGCCATGGGGTAGCTCAGGCGGCTTTACTCCCAGGGGCAGCGGGAACACTGCTGCAGGCTGGGCAGTGGGTGCCTGCTGTGAGCAGGCTGCCCGCAGGGTCAAATCCTCTCCTCTCTCTGCAGGGTGCAGGGGAGGAACAGCTCAGCGTGGGTACCACCAGACCAAGCAGATAACAGGTCTCAAGAGAAAGAAGGGGAAGTGAGAACATGTGTCTTATCTCTGCCTTCAAAGGTAGGAAGCCAAATTGTGCTAGAGCAGAAAACAATCCGCAAACTTAGACTATCTTCTGGTCCTCCTTTAAATATTTCAGGGCATCCAGAACCAGCAAGGAGGATAAATCAGATTTTGTCTGCAGCTCATAAAGGCAGTGTTTACAAAGAGGCTGGTATGAAAAACACTCAGATTCCTACAATCTCTTACTGATAAGTCAGTGGCTTCTAAACATTAACACGGAAACTGAAGTGAAACTGTCTGATTGCATGAAGTAAGTGAACCATTTTGAGTGTCCAAGACTGGGAGACAGGTCTGGCAACCACAGAGGAAAGCATAGCACCTGCCCTAGTGGCAGAACTGGCATTTGCTGAACCACTGGAATACAGTCATTTTTAGGATGGAATTTATGGAGCAACTAACATACAGCCGTTGTCCTAGCGCTCTTGGGCTTTCAGCCACACAGGTTCTTGGCTGCACTGTGGTTACAGTGGCTGCCCTGTAGCTGTTCCCTGTCAGCCTGTTGTGACCTCGCAGTGAAAAAGCCACTCTCTGCATGCATACCACTCCCTTGAGGAGCAGCTGAGCCCACTGGGCTGTGCATACCAGCTACATCCCATCCCCCAGACAAGAACTGAGCCCATGGTATTTCCCAAGGTGATGTGCCAGGGGTCCCCACACTCATGGAAGGGGCATGGTAAGAGGCACTGATGTGCAACTGCAGCAAGGGATGAAGAACCCCCCTGAATGGAACATGTAGCAAAAGAGCCTCCTGTGAAAGTGGGAGGAAGTCAGGATTCCTGTGTTCAGCTGAGGACTGACCCCTGTGTTCGCAAGCTGGAGCCATGGCTAGAGGTGAGAAAGCACACCCTGGAGCACTGAGCAGAGCACACTGCCACACACCGGCGTGGGGAGAATTCAAAGCCATTACCTGCTTCCTGTGAGGCCGTTAGCTGGGTTAGTTTAGTCCAGAGAAATCTTGCAGGGTAAACGCAGAGAAGGCGATCCGTGGGTGCCACAGGTGTTGGTGCAGGACACAGTTGTCCCGGAGCCCGCTGTGACAGTTTGGCAGCGTTGAAATTCATCAATGAACACTAGTGCACTAGAAGTTCTTCCTTGTCATCTTTCAGGCTGACGGAGTCTCTGGTGATCTCTGTTGTTCCACTTTTCAGAAGGTCAGTGCTTCAGTGTCAGTTTTTCCACCCAAAGTGCCCTCCCCCTCATCCCCTCACAAAAACCAGCAATTAAAATTTAATATTTTCAGTCACGGGAAAACAATTTCTGAAGTAAAATCCTTAATGGTTGGAAATTGTCCTTCTGGCAGCAGAAGGTTCCCCAAGGAGCCCAGCAGCCTGTACAGCCTCTGGTGCGGTGGCAGAGCGTGCCCCAGGCAGGGAGCTCTGCGACTTTCCTGAGGGCTCCCAGCAGTGGTTGTGCACCCTGTGACATCGAGCCCAGGGCACAGGGACCCAGCCTGCTGCTATTTGGTGTCTTTACAAGGAAGGTGACATATGCTATGAGCCTGCTTGACTTTACCTCAGGCACTTGGGTAACACTGTCTATCAGAATCACTGGGAGCCTTTACAAAGATGGTCAAGAGCTTGCCCCAGTCATATTTTATAGAAATTTGGATGGATTTTGCTGTCCATTGGCTACAGCAGTTGCAGTCTCACCTGTGCGAGCCAGCTGACAGGCTCTGTCTACTTCAGGATTTGTCCCAGTAATTACCCTCTCTGGCGATCACAGTCTCAAAGGTGACAGCAGCAGATTGACCACAAACTCTGGGCTCAGATGTGGAAGGCAGATGTAGGTCACAAGGGAAGATGCATAAATGGGCAGGAAACGCTCCTCCACACTGTCTCCAGGAACGCTCTGAGAAGTGCTAGTGCAGAGCTCGGGGCCAGTTTGGATATTTTTCAGTATTTAGAAAGAAAAAAAGCCCAATTCTGGGAGCCTTTGTATAACATAGAGAGAGTTAATGCACTCCCTATCTCCCCTGACTCTCCCAGGCTGCTAACTCACAGAAAAATGCATTTCTTGGATGGAAATGTCAGGGATGTCCATGTGGGCAGCCTGTGGAAGCCCAGACCCAGATGGGTTCAAGTGGGGGGGGTGATCCTCTGACCTTAAGGTGCAGGTGGGAGGGGGAACCATCCTGGTGCCAAAGCAGAAAACCAGAGAATAGTAATGCATGGGTGGCAAATATCTAGGCAGCAATAAAAGGGCTTCCCCATGGGTGGGAGCAACAGCCCCTCAGGGATTGCTGCTCTAAGGAAGTGTCTCTGTGCCAAGGCTCAGCGGTGCAGTGAGAGGAGAGCCAGCAGGAGGACTCAGGTCTAAAATCTGGACCTTGTGCCTTTATGCGCCAGACAATTCTTGCTTTCACCCTGTCTTCCTTCACCCCTGTTTGACCTGTGCAGTTGAAGAGGAAGGAGTGAGTGATGGCGTGGGGTTATGTGCAACAATGCAGTGGAAACCATTAAAGCACAGTGCTTTTCCTCCAGGTGAGGAACACATCCTATATCTTGTCTTTTCATCTTTTGCCTTGTAATCCCTTTTGTTATCGTGGTTTATTTGTATGGGAAGCTGCTCTTTGCTGTAAGGCAGGTAAATCGATTCCTCATCTGCGTTTTTACTTTGACCCCAAACCAAGTAGAAACCAGTGATTATCATTTTCCACCTTTAAACTCCTCTGCTGTCAGATATGCTGCCACTCTTGGAAACTGGATCTCCTGTGACTGTCTTTCTGACACCCTCCAGCCTACCAGGGCTTTAAAAGTCACATTCAAGTGTGAACAGATGGAGTAACCGAGCTTCTTTTGGCCCCGGTTCATCTCCGTTTCCTCATGCCCTGTTCCGCCCCCCGTCCCGACTTGCCTCGTATTTCATCGGAGTAACCGGTACCGCCCGCGGAGAAACTTTGGAGGGGAAAAACTGCTCTTCCCCCTCCTCCTCTTCCTCCTCCTCCTCCGTGCCTGTGGCAGTTTACACCCACTGAGGAGGAAGGGGAGTTCCAGCCAGAGCCAGTCTTTGACGGCATGAGTCCACAGGAGGAATCACCCTTTCCCTTTCCCCTTCTCCCTTCCCCTCGGGTGGCTGTCTGTGTTCAGCCGCCTCCCGCAACTGCAGCCTCCACAATCTGGAGCCCAACAGCACCCGCTGGTGACCGGGAGTCAGGCACTGCAGCCCCTGCCTCCCGGCCCCCACTGCGTGGGGTTAGAACTGCGCTGAAAGGCAAAAAATACTTAATTGTTTTCGGTGGAAGTTGGGTTACAGGATTATTGTTTGTTATTGTTGTGTTACCTATATATATATATTCTTTGGTAAAGAGCTATTCTTTTCTACACCTTTTCGACTGGAGCCTCTTAATTTCGAAGTTATAATTACATCTGAGGAGCATGGGTTTTCTCATATCCCGCCCTCCCTAACAAACATTTCTGTCTTGGTAAACTGAGACACGCATAAAAAGTTGATTTGGGGCTCAGGAGAGCTGTCTGTCTTCAGGACAGCTCTGGACATTTTAGCCATGGTGAGTTATGCCACCAGTTCAGGCAGCAGAAGAGCTCAGCTCACAGCTCTCTGTGAATGCAGCAACCAATGGGATCCCTTCAGTGTTGTGAACTGGTCCTTTGGGCACCACAGTGACATGGAAAGGGTTTAGGGTGGTGGCAGGGGCTTTTGTACTCCCTATCAGATGAGTGATAATTATGAAGGTCAGGAGCTGCCTTTCCTGGACTGCCTGGTCTTGCAGGAACCCCAAAACATGGGAAAATAATACGGAAATTGTTCTCAGAAGGGAAGGGGCATTTTTCTGCAGTTTGTGCAAAGTCTGTGCATGTGATGTGTTATATTGGATGTGTGACCCTGCAGGACAGGCCTCCTGAGCCTCAGCACACGGGGGAAGAGCCCATTCTGAGGTTTAGCCCACACCACTGCCATCATACCTGGTTTGCCAGAGATATACATACCTGTGTCTGGATCTGAGTTATCCTTCCATGAAGGGGGATTTTCCAAGAAGAGGGAAAATCAAGACTGGACGATACTGTGGATGCACCTGGGCTCCTTTGGGAAGCCAGAAGCGAGGTGCAGGGGCAGGAGCCTCTCTCTAGCCTTCTGCCCTGGCCCGGGCAGCCCCCCATTGCTATTCCCGTTGCTGTGCCCATTCCTTACCCAGGCTGGTTTTCCTGCTTCCCAGGTTCCCCCATGGCAGCAAGGTACAGAAGCCGCAAAACCCCCAGTGTGTGTAAGAGGGAGGGAAAAAAAATGAACAAAATATGCTTCACATGCCAGCTAAATATTTAAGGATTGGACAACAGACATTTGTGTTTCTAGTGAATCCCAAATTATAGGCAACACTCAGTAAGCCTTTAATCGTGCTTTCAGTGCCTGCCATGAATAGATCCCTGTAGCTGAGATTAT